CCTAATAATTCTGCACTCCCTGTATACTTCCGTAAAGTTGGCAGAGTTTAATCCAAGATATCCTTTAGTGAGAACCAAATCAAAAACTGCAAAATCTTAAAATTTGAGTCAAGACCATTCCCTCTCAAACTTTACGTCCAGCCTGTTAGGCATCGTGTTACAGGTAACTTTGATGGCATCACTGTGAAAACATCACGGTTATTTCTGACTTTAGAGAGTTCCTTTCAGAACCCCAAAAGACATAATCTATTTTTTTTTCCTTTTACTGGTAACGATTCACATGAGAGCAAGCTGAACTTTAAATGCCAGGGCATTTAGCCAGCTGTAAGCAAATACTCTTGTACCACAACATGCTTACATAACGTGGTTCTAGGGCTTTAAACCTCACAATATCGTCCACAGAGACACAGATCCTTAAATATCTGTGAACAATTCCCAGCTCCTAAGCTCAATGCAGCAAATATTATGTCAAATCCATCCATCCATGTGGAGCATATCCACAAGAGGTGGGGTACAGCCTGCACAGGTCAAACTCACCTTCACACTTACAGGCAATTTAGAATTACCAATTAACCTAATAAGCACATCTCTGAACTTTGGGAGAAAGCCACGGTATCCGGAGAGAGCCGAAGTCATGAGCAGCACATGCAAACTCCACCCAGAAAGGCCAAAAGCCAGCCCGTGAAATCGAACCTAGGATAATCATCCTGTGAGGCGGCAGTGTTAACCAGCATGCCACCCATAATATGGGGCTACTGTTTAATTTACTATCTACACCTTTTCCAAACTTTTTTCTGACACCATGTGTGAGCTTACCTGTAAACTATCCTCTCACGGTGCAGGTCCTCAAGGCCACAGCAAATCTCAGCAGCGTAGAAGATGGCTCTTTGCTCATCAAAGCCTGAGTTCCCCATGTTGTAAATGTGAAACTTTAAGTCACCGCCATTCATTATGGTCAGCACCAGGCACAGCGCATCCTTGGTCTCATAGGCGTATGCTAGACTAACCTAGGGGAGGGAGGCAAATTTGGGGAAGAGGTAATAATGGGAGGAGGCAAGAAGAAAGGAGAAAATGTTGAAGAGGGCATGAGTGTGCTGGAGGAAGAGGGAAGAGAAGTGCTAAGAGACTACTGAGTGGCTAGAAGAGCATAATTGCTTTATTTGGTTTGCTTAATGTCCCAAATAATCATCCATTATCCAGAATGGAACGTCAAGAATGTACACAAAAGAAAAAGGAGCTATATAACAGATACAGAAAATCATCCCCTCTCTAATCCCACCATCCGTCTCTTTTCTTCCCTCATTCCCACCAGCCTCCCTTCATTTCCCCTCCCTGTGGGTCAGTGACACACAGGGTACAGTGTGCGCATGCGTTGTTGTGTACAAGCAGGAAGTTGCTGCCATCAGGAGGATTTCCATCTGCTAGAGCATGTAGTCAGAAACAAACCACAAAAGGAGATGGGAAATATTCTCATGGGCCAAGTGAACAAAACACACACACTCATATATACATATATATACAAAATGTACCTAAACAAACACACAAATATGTGCTCCAAACCAAAGTAAATAATCTTTCTAAATTCTTGTTTATGTGCTGGCAAAATACATCAATTTATTGTGGCACCACAAAAGCCTTTTAGTTTGCTTAGTGATTCATTAAAATGTATGAATCACTATGAGCAGACATCCAAAAACTCTCCCAAATATCGAAGACGTTCAAGTGTGTAATCAAATGTTCAGTAATTGCTACTCTAGTATTATCGGTTCAGCTTTTGTTGTGTATGTCTTGCTGTATTTATGGTTTACACGCATGCAGCAAGACCCTTAACGTCCTGAGCTCTACTCCTTTGCCTAAAAGTTAAGCATTTTCGTAGAAGTGTGGTTTATTTCATTTATTCTTATTTACTTTACTGTGAAAAGGGAAAAATCCTGTTTCAAAGAATATGAATAAAAAGTGTCAGCAAAAATAATAGAAATATTCAGATAATTCTCATATTTATCTTTGTATTTTCATGCTGTTCTTCTATGGAAAAACATGAAATTACAAGTCTGACTTATCTGCAGGGGAAAAAAATATATTATATAATAATTTCATTATATTGGTACCGGTATCAAAAAAAAATTCAATATGATATGATAGTGAGTCAAATCTGCATCGCAGTGAGGCAGCTCTACCTCATCCTCACCTGCTGGAAATTTTAAAGCAGGGTCACCCTGCTCCGTGTCTCACACCCACACACAAAGAATATGCGGATAGGTTATTGGTTAAAACATACAGCAAACTAACAGTATGCACTGACTAATACCATGCAGTGATCACAAAAAGGTAAAGAAGAATAGCGAGAGAGAGAGAAATGAGGGGTTTGAGAGAGCACTTGACTCTTCTGCTTGCTACTGCTGTTTGGTCAGTGTTGCTAGGCAACAGAGCTGCTCTCGTAGGTAGAGAGGCACATGAAGAGTCATCAGTTCTGCCTGCAGCACCGCGAACAAACACGCACACACACAAACACGCACACACACACACACAGAATCATGTGCCAATCCCAGGTGACAAGAGCTGCAAGTCTGAGGTTCTGTAACAAGCCCACTCTAGCCTGTGTGTGTGCGCGTGTATGTGTGTGCACATGCATGCTCGTACACATGCTTCTGCCATGACTCACTCAAACAAGGACAGGCTACATAGCTCATGCTGCATCACAAACCAGCTAATCCAGCGTGTAGTACAATTCAAACGGCAGCCAGTACATTCAAACAGTGAACATGGACAGGCTTTGAGGCAGGGCTGCAGGAAAGCCAGGTTACTGTACTACAGATAAATATCACTGTTAAGTCAAAGTCACACAGTATTTTTTCCTTTATGCACAAAGTACACACTGCATACAGACCAGACATTTACATGAGTATTAGCCACTCCTTGCCATGTTCCAAGAATGTTAAATGAGGACTTGGTGTAATTTTGTTGTCTTTGGAACAATCAGTTTTGAAATAAGAAGCAACACTGAGCCAAAGCTAAGCTTTCTTTTCCGGCCTGAGCACCTGAGATGTGTTTGTGCATGCAGCTGGACGAAATGGAAAGAGAGGCACACATCCCCAGTTTTCCAGTGGGATCGGAGTCTTGATGGGAATATGTAGTATTTAAGCTGGATCAAAAAATTCAAGCATTTCATTTTTTATATTCATGACATGTTGAAAGGGGAATAAAGAAAATCAGAGCGCAATACAAGAGGAAGCAGTGCACTGCTAGACAGGTATGCACAGTCAGACAGAAAAGGGGGGCAAGAAAACTCAACTCAGTTATTCCACAAAACTATCGCTTAATAAAGTCCTACTTTAAATATGAGCCATGACTAATACGATATCTCTTTTAGTAGTAGACTTCTCCTTTTGGTATAGCACTGAAATTAAAAGATTTAACAATAACCTCTACAGCAAGGGAATCTGGTGGCTCTGTTACATTGTGCTAGCATGCTTTCATAGGCAAGAGTGACTGTAGTGTTACTGCGGTTATACAATGAAGAAACATTTTTATCCTGATGTGAATGGTCTCTTTTTTTGTCCGTAAGACACGAGGGTTTAAATCTAAAAGTGATTCAAGTCATATGTTATGGCCTTAACATATTTTGGAACAAAGTGTTATATAGCACACTTCAAATCACGCAGTGAGGGAGTATCTCAAAAGAATTGTGTTCCATCCATCCAGCAGACTTCTACAGACTTGGAGAGTCAGTTCAAAGGCACACTGAAGCTGTTCTGTTAGCATGTGGCAACCCAATACCACACAACGACACTTTATGTTGTTTTTTCCTTTAATTTGTCACCTGTCGGTAGGTGACTCCCTAAAAAGGTTTCCGATGCGCTGCTAGCCAAAAACCACTGCTTACTCATGCCTATGGTTCAATTTATAGAAATCCTCCATAGGAAAATCAGCCAAGAGCAATGGCATCACTAAGAGCCGGAGGCACAGTGGCAGGCTAATGATTTTTCTTTTCCTTAGGCTGGCACACATGCTCAGAGAAAGGATACTGTACCATTTCATTCTGCAAGCAGCTGCTCTGCTAAAATGTGACTCGTGTCTGCAACTCAGATGCCGCGGGTTCTCTTTTTAAAAACAATTCAACATTTCTAACGGCCTTTGTTTTAGGTGGTGCGGTTGGACAACAAGGAAGAGCAATTTTGATGCCATTTCCTGATGAAGGTGGCACCAATACTATTGTGGCATTCTCTGGAGATCGTTTTAGCTTCTTCCTCAGATTGATGCTTCCTCAGAATTTTCAGTTCCTTAAATATCACATTTGGGTTACACACTTTAACATGCTGCTTTTACTTGATGACAGATTTGTTTTGGTGAAATGAATTCCAGTCACATATGGCAGGAATGTCTGAGAAACTTAAGAGTGTCTATGACGTAATGCTGAGCTGTCACAGAGTGGCAATCTTAAAGTAAACCATCACAGAATTCTGGGGGAAGCATTATTTTAACACCTCTGCCCCAAGAAGGCAAAAAAAAAAAAATTATTAATCTAAAAATGCACAGGAACAAAACAGATTTCAGTCAAATTCAGTAATGCATTGACAGATGATTGAGGGCTGACAGTATGCTCCAAATGAAATCAAATCTGGCGTGTTTGCAGAATAGCAGGTTTCTTATGAAAATAGCCAAGCTGGCTTCGATTGCTGCAGCACAATCAGCGAGCGCAGCTGAACTTGTCAACGTGTTTCCACATCCTCCCTAAACGCCCCGCAGAATGCTCTCACCTGCCACTGTTCAATAAGATCATGCGTCTTTCCCCCCCTTTTGTAGTTTTATCTCATCATGTCTTTTTCCACTGTGGCTCACAACCTCACTAAACAAACAGAGCTCGAGTTGTGGCGTCTATCTTTAAGAGCTGATCGACAGCCTTTGCAAACACGCCACTCCGTTTCATTTGCAGGATCCTGCAGCCGACAGTGCTCTCACATTCACGCATGCACGGTCTCGCACATAGACGGGCAAAACAAGTAAAATTCGGTTGAAAGGTTGAATAAGAAAAAAGTAGTACTTACTACAAAACTACTGTTAACTTTTTCTAAAATGCGTTTTTCGTTTAGTGCCATTGCTTCACCTTTTCTTTTCTTCACTCGTTTCTTTTCCAGCTTTTTACAGGCGTACATCTTACCGGTGGCACGTACTTGGCAGGCACAAACCTGGAAAACGAGCAGCGAAAAAAACGTGATCGCACTCACATGCGCATTAAAAATAAAACACACGCCCCTAAAATATAACTAATGGAAGTTAATATGTCACACTGCAGATTTTCCCACCCAGCATCACTGGAGTGGCGACAAACGCTGGTGCATTAACTGACAGTTAACAGTTACTTGTAACCAATTAACTCATTAAAGGTTAACTATAACTTTAGTCATTATAATTCCACCTTATAAAACATTATTTATTCCTCATTTCTTACCTCGCCAAATCCACCTTTTCCTAGTACTCTGTAATGTCTGAAGGTATTTTTGGTTACTGGTTGCCTGCAGAGGTGCAATGAAGAATAAGAAAGGGATAAAGACAGAGAGACAAAACACAGAGGAGACATTAAATAGGAGTTTATTTCATTTTCACAGACCATGTGATGTTGCAGACAGAGTAATGGTCTAATATATTATTAATCCACCCTAATGACTGCTGTTTCCACCCTGCTTTGGTTTCAAAGCCATTATGCAAAGCATCATCAATTATTAACCACTCACACAGAATCACCGATTGGCACCACCACCTGTTTTAGTGCAAAAACCGTTCCTGCTGCTATACTTTAATATTTACTTTTTCGTTATATATCTCTTTTACTGCTTTAGCGACAGTCAAAGACAGTAATTGTTCAGCCTCAGACGACCTGAACAGGGAACGTTTAGTATGTGCATGTCACGTTTTTGATGTAAATCTTAATGTACATGCTTTGCATGTTTGCTTTTCCAAGTGTGTAATACGCTGTGACTACCCACCTCTCCAACCATTTCCACTGCAGGAAGCGAGAGAAGTACATGGACTCCTGGTAGGAGGAAAATGGAGCTCCACTCAGATAATCACGAACTATTCTGGAGCAAAGGAGAGACAGAGAAGGGGGAGTGGTGACCATTTTAATAACATATCAAATATAACAATAACATCTTACATGTCAGAGTAAACCAGGAAAAAACCCAGATTTCATGTTACCCCTAAACGCTTCCTTTTTTTAAACCTTGGCAGTGACTACAAACAGACACATCCTTTGACTGAATACCCACTGGATTACATACGGCCACATCTGTATATATCTGTGAACTTTTGTGTGTGCCATGGACATTGCAGAGTTCAAAAGTCACTGTCAGTGGAAAGATGGAAAACACTGAATGTCAATATGCCACCATGAAAAACGAAAAATGCCTTTGAGCAGGGAAGTTCCACTCAGTTCAACCAGGAAACGGGATTTATGGAAACCGTTTTTTTTTGAGTCTGAGGTTCAGCGGAACATCTAATCTCATTTTACCTGCAACGTGAATGTGGGTGTAAGTCTGGAAACACACACACACAAAAAGGACTGCATTTTTCTTAAATTCTTAGCAAAAGACGGAAGCCACTAACACCCAGCAAAAATATAACTCTCTGCGGGGTCACAAAGGGTGACAGTCTCACCGTCTCCTAGCCGTGCATAAACTGCCACTCCGCTGGGAGTTGTTAGGACACGACTCTTTGACATTCGTGCGTCATCCTCGTAGATCAGTGTCTGTTTTCAATGGTCTCACCACAGATGTTTGACTTAAACACCATCTCTTGACACTAAAGCGGTGAGCTAAACAGCACTGGTGTGTTGCGGTTACTTTAAGGCTGAGCTATCTACTGTGCTTGCGTTGAGTGTTGGCAGATTACATATTTTAAAAAGTAGACTGACATAACCACCAGGACGTCACCCAGTGGCTTTGGATTCTGCATTTTGAAGCTTCAGCGTTGCTGCTCTTTAAAAAAAACAAACAAAAAAAAAAAAACCCCAGAAGTAACTGTTATGGATGAAAGGGTGGAGTGCTGAACAATCAGTTAACGTTAGCTAGTTTAGTTAGCAAACTGCATTCTTAATCTGTACAGATGCAGCATACAGACACACATATTCAATTCAATTTTATTTATATAGCACCAAATCACAACAGTCGCCTCAAGGTGCTTTGCATTGTAAGGTAGACCCTACAATAATACATACAGAGAAAAAGCCAACAATCATATGACCTCCTATGAGCAAGTGACAGTGGGAAGGAAAAACTCCCTCTTAACAGGAAGAAACCGCTGGCAGAACCAGGCTCAGGGAGGCGCGGCCATCTGCTGCGACCGGTTAGATTCGCATATCAACTATTTAGTGCTAAATAACAGACTAATGAAATAGTAACAGAAGCACAAACATGTTAGATGATCTGTACTACACAGCAAGTCATATTATTAGCTTTGTAATCTATAAAAAATGTTTCAAAGAGCCTTTTTCAAACCAGCCTCAACAAACCAGCCTTACACAATGAGGAAATGCAGTTTTTAACTACTTTTTTTTTAGATCCAGGGGGTGCTCCTTGAATTAAATGAAAGGTCAGTTTCTATTGCTAAAGTCTCTACCAACAGAAAATGGCAAAACTGCAATTCCTGAAGTGGCCACTTAAGGCTGAGTCAGTCATCATTGAAAATGTCCAAGTTATCAAGATAAAAAGGTCACTGATAGCCTGGTACAAACATTTATAAATATTTTTAAAAGGGTTTCGTCCCTATGGGCAGCTTCCCCTTCGATAATAATCATAGGATGGGAGCGTTCTTTCTAACTCATCTTTAAATGCCGGTAGGGCTTAAACTTTATCGGCAGCTACAGTCGATAGCTGTCTGGCGTCACCTCAACTAGCTGAACTGGACCTCTTAACCATATTTGTGGTTTTGGAGTCTTTGGGTTCATTTTTAATGGATCGTGACTTGCTGTTTGATGCAGACTATTCAAGGACTTTATGCTTCAGTTCTGGTGAGAAATTGAAATATTTTAATAGTCTGTCACCAATTAGAAGGTATTTGTGTTTGTGCACGGCTGGAGCTTTTTAACCATTCTTCATCTCATCCAAATACAGAATAATAATTTAAACAGAGAGGAGTCATATGCAGATACTAAATTAACTAAACTTTCCATGAAAGATGGACCTTAGCAATCCAAACCCCCAGGTCGCAATGCAAACATCAGCTTAAAAAATAATAATAATGTAATTATTAAACAATAAAACAGACTCCCAAAGACTCCTTACAGTGCCCCTCTAAGCCATTTAACTGTCAACTATAATAGTCAACATGATGCAAAATGATCAGTTTCTTCAAAGCAAGCAGTAATCATCTTCATTACATTTATCCTTGTGACACAAGCTGCACTATTCCCAAACTACAAAAACCCCACATGAAATAACAAATACTCTGGGACAGTCATGACAACCACTGCCCGGTGTGATCACAACCTCCTCTACCAGCCAACAACACATGACTAAAAACCAGAGTTACAGCACACATTCTCCTCAGCCACCCAAATGTCAAAGATATGCTCATATTTATCCAGCAGATTTTCCTTGACCATATTTTAAAATTACTTCATCACTAAGGAGGACAAGGATAGCTGCCTGTGGTTACCAACAGTGCTGGAGTAGCTGTTCTTGGCAAAAAGACTTGAGAGTAGAGAGTTTCCATCGGGGAAGCACCCTCGGCTGTGTGAAAGAAAACTGAGTTATGTCATTATGGAACTCAGTTGCTCTGTAAATTAAGTGAACATCCATTTGAATTGTTTGCAGGAGTAGAGTGTCAACAGGATTTTATCAATCTACCCTTTGTTGTTTCTCAGCCTACAAGGGGTTTGTGTACATAAAATCTTTCTCCTAAACACGTGCATTAGCATGCTTCTTGTTCCTTGTGTATCAAACTTCAGTTTCCACTCTGTCACTGAAGAAATCAAGAAACAAAAACTATTTCCTCCCAGATTCTGTTCGCTTATCGGTTTGACAGGCCTGAAAGGGGCTCCAGAAAGGAAAGAGCTGAGCAGAGCTGCAGACAGCCATCACTGGGAGTAGAAATAAACACAGCTACAATATGGCTTTTGTTAAACAAAGGGAGCGGGAGAAGACAAGAGGGAAGAAAAATCAGCAGTGAGACCTTTGTCAACACAGCGGATATACAAAACATCACGATACACATGAGATGGGCCACACACACACTACTCTCAGTATGACATAACAATATGTTCCACTGCACCAAGAAAATAAAAAAATAAAAATCCACAAGTGAGCTAATATATTTCTGTTAGTGGGAGTGCAGCTCTGCCAAAAGTCACGTTCACACGTGCAGCACCATGCTTTCCTACAGGTTTTCCCTTTGAGAGAGAAAAAAAACAAACAACGGAGCAAACGCTGGTTCAGAATTACACATCGGAATAAAATATGAAGTTACACAACGGAATAATACAAATAATGATAGTGAAAGGAAGAAGTGATGACCAGAGTTGGATGGGAATCCCATTCAAAAACATCTGAGCTGCTGCTGCACGGCTTCAACACGTGCCTGTGTTGTTCTCTTCGCCGTTTTGCCCCGCTCTCCTTCACACTCTCTTTCCATTTCTCCTCACTTTTCCCCTAATTCTCCTTTTCGTCCTCCTTTCCTTACTCTGTGTAGGTTTTCTAACGATGCGTCCTCATGCTCTGCATTTCTTCAGACTTATCACTTCATCGCCTGCTGAGTTTTGAATCCAGTCTAGAAATGGAGCAGATGCTGTGCTTCTCACATCAACAAAAGCGCAGTATTCTGGTTATCCTCTTTCTCACACCGTTTCCCTGCTCTCCCTGATGCCCTTTGGACAACTTGGAGGAAGACATTTATGCAGGAAGAAGGAAACTTGCCTAACTGAACATGACTTGAGATGAGAGGCTCTGTGGAGGTTTTTCTGGGTTTTGCTCATCTTAAACATAACCAATGAAGCTCCCAGTTTTAGTCCAGCACAAACCACATCACCTCACTTCTTCTACACATGCATTTGCCAACTTTTTCCTTCACACACCACCTCCTGCTGTGTGTCTGCATTGCTCACTCAGCCTCTAAACCCTCAAGCAAATCTCCCCAACACAGAGAAAATTAAGATATGTGAATAAGCTTTAGATAAACTAAACAAAACTTCATACTCAATTAAAATCATCGGGTCGAGGAAACTTTTTGGGAAAAATTAATCACTGCCTCAAAACATTCTGGCAACCGCACGCTTGTCCCTGTCAGCCACTTTGACTAGCTAACTTTGCATTCCTGTCTTCATGGGTCTGTGAAAGTGGCCGCGCTCTGTCAATCAGACATTTGCATAAAGGTTCCCTATACCTGAGGGAGGGAGATAATATCTGACTGTATGCAAGAGTGCATGCTGATGTCATAGCTGGGTGTTTTCTCAGCAATGATCCCCACTTCTCTTGAGCTCCTGTTTGGTGAAGCTTAAGTGAATCAAAGGTTAGTGACAGCATTTCCAATCCAAATCCATTTGCCCTTGTGGTTATGAGCTCAGACTTCACAGAAATTTTGATTTTGCCAGCAATGACAACACATGGCTCCATCAGCCCGCTGATTTAATGCATGCTGTACATGTTACATGTAAACCTGATCCATTTGAGTTGTTTATTTTCTGTTGTTTAAGAGTAAGATTTATATTTTATGTGCTATGTGCATAAACTAAATTAATCCAGTTAAAAAAAACGTGGTGGGGGCGCACCATCTTCCCAGAAAGGAAGCCCACAGATCGAGTTTTAATTTGCATATTGCCCAGAAGCTTCCTGAAGATGACCTCAAAGATCTTATCATCAGGAAGCTTGAATCTATTTAACACTACAGTTAATAATGTCTTCTTCTGTAATGTGATCAAGTGATTTATCAACCAGAGACTGATAACAGCTAGATGGGTGCACAACATTTAAATGCTAAAAAGAAAGGTTGGGTTTTTTGGTTTGTTTTTTGGTAACCAACCAACTGATTCCATGGCAATGCTGTTTCATGTACCAAAAGAAAAATATATGAATTATAGTTCCAGGCATTGATTACAATTATTTCAGTAAACTAGTAAAAATAAAATAAAATACAGGAATAGACCCCAATGTGTGTTAAGCAGACCTGGGTCACCGAGGTGGTTTGGTCAGTTCACTGTTAAATGTCAAACAATCTGAAAACATCACCTTTGTAAAAGTAATCTGATGTATTGGTAAATATCAAACTCGGGATAAAATAAGAATTGCAAAGCTGCTTTAGTAGAATTACAGAATCGCAATGTGCACCAGGAAATTTGGCAGAATAAGCTCTCTTTAATAGTAGACTTGTCGTGGTCCTTGGTCTTTGACCTAGGGTTATCCTTGGTTTTGCTTTTTGGATCTTTAGTTGTGATTACCTTTGTGCTATGGGTTCTTGTTTACATTTTAGTATAGATGTGCATTTACTTCTTTGTGTGTTTCAGGTTAACCTAGCTTCCCTAGTGTTCCATTGTAGTTTGTTGTCAAGTTTTTGTCTCAGAGTTAGATATTTCACTGTTTACTCGTTTCCTGTTTTATTTTGACAGTCATGCATTTTTTGGAGATTCTTTGTTAGCTTCTGCATTTTGGACTTTGCCATTTTCTGGACCAAGAAGCATGTTGTTTCAGGTCCATGAAACTTTTTCCTCCACATAGTGTTTCTTAAGAGCCTGGTTAGAGGCCTGGTTATCATTTTCCAAACATCTTGCCAAACTAAATTCACCCAGTTGGAATCTAACTAAAACAAATGCAATCAGCTAACCAATCGGCACACAGTGCAATCATCTTAGGGATTAGGAATAAGTCACTACAACGACTTTAAGTAATAACAACAGAGTATAGCATATGCTGTTAAAAATATGTAATATGCCTTTTATGTGTGAAATGATTACCATTGCACTTACCACTGTAATATAATTAAGAAACCAAAACACAAACTGAGATGATACTACAAATATGAGCGCATACCCGAGTATCGCTGAGGTGTACGTGTGTCACTGTATGTTCAATAAGAAGTACATGTGTGGTTAATAATCCCCAGTCTGTTTGCTTCTCCTGGCTCTCAGAGCAGGAAGGAGAAACACCTGCAAGTGTGTTTGTGTGTGTTTGTAAACCTGTTTGTGTGTGTGTATGTGGCGAACACTGAGGTGGCTGTTGTTTTCATGCCAGCCATCCGGATGCTCTCTCTGCCCACTGCTCCTTTTCATTTGGCTCAACTATGCGTACGTATTTGCGAGTGTGTGTGTGTGTCTGTGTGTAGTACGGCATTCCAGGTGCCCGCTGCCTCATCATCAGCAGTGACAGGGAGCAATGGTCCACACACACACACACACACACTTTCTTTCTCTCTCTAAAGATTCTGCTAGTGCCTACACTTAGATGCCCAGACGCAACCATGGCAAAAAAATAATCATAATAATTATATTTAAAAAAAAGAAATAAATCAATGTATAAAATTCCATTTGAATTTTCCCTCCACAGCCTGTCTGCATGAGGGCTGAGCAAATAAAAGAACAAATAAAAGCAGCAAGTTAGATTTAAAAACATACTTGGTGCAGTCATTGAAGAGCTCCTTACACGGACTCTGCTCCAACCTCTCCCGGCACCCAGCGACAACATCCTGGGGTATGTCAGGCAGATGGGCTGCCGACTTGAGGGTTTAAAGAGACAGAAAAACAGCAGGTGAGGCAAACAGATGCAGAGAGACAGAAGAGAACATGCTCAGTGTAACATGGTCACAGATTGTTGAAGATGTGAAAATAGATTTTATACCAGAATTGTGCTTGAATCTTTCTGTTAGTGAAAAAACAAAACAAATTGAAGTTCCCCTGTCTGTTTGCTCCGACTCATTTCAGTCAGTGAGAACATTAGCATTTATGTGAATCAGCTTAAAAATAACTGCCTTGTGCAGCTGTAGTGAAAACACAAAAGAAGACCTAATGGGACAGTGAAGTACACATTCACACATGTAAGAGCCAGAATTAAATGCATGACTTGACCATTTTATCTCCAGCTTACTTTATTTACCGATAGCTGAGCATATTTCCAGTTAACAAACAATCAAATAAACCCTAAGCAGTTTTATTACACTGCATAAAATTCAATGAGACGATCATCTGGAAGTGCATGTATTAACTTAAACTAATATATAAATCATTTATAGCCATATCATGCAGCCCTGTAATTAAATGAGCAGGTTGGTGCATCTTACCCCATTATTAAAGTATGTGTCTAAAACATTCAGTCCACAGTCCCTCCTTTTCTCATCGGGAGCTAGCTGATACATAGCCTGTCACAGAAAAACAGAAGTTGTAGGAACCACAGCAAGCCATGCTCATTCAGCCATCTTTAAAACTTCTCCAAATAAGGTCAAAGTCACAGAGAAGAAAGCAAAGAAGGCTGAAGCAAAGAGGGAAAGATGCTGCGTTAATGAACAGAGGAAATCAGGGACAGCTGACTAATGGTGGAGAGTTAGCAAAGACAAACATCTCGTTTTAGTCATGGCAGCAAACTGGGAACTATTTTCTTCTTTTCACCATCACAGATTGTGTCTTTGGTCAAATATGGCTGTAGGCAGGGACACAGTCTGGAGTTTGACTGCTTTGCGCCGTGTGTTTTGTTTGAAAACACGCTCCGCAGAGACGAATGGGACTGAGCAGCACTACTACGCATCAGCCAAGACACAAAGTCCTCGGGGAGACTCGTGGCACATGTTGACGACTAAAAAGTTGCTCATTAAATTTCAAGCATTTGTCAGTTGGTGTGTATATATGTGTCTGCCTACCTTAAAAAAACCCCTAAAACTAAAAGAAACAAAAACAACACAAATCTAGGACCCCATTAAATTCCTCGCCTGTTTTCCTTCTTGCATACCATCAGGGGCCTAGACACAAGCTTGGGCCTGTGTTTGCCTGCTCACCCAGGGGACCTGCCTCTGACGTTGGCTTGACCTCATGGAGGAGTGCATGGAGGAAGGGGAGGAGTCTGCTCCCTGACAGCTTCTCTAAGTCGCTAATCACCCACTACGCCCACCCCACCCACCTCCCTATGTGACTGCCAAGAACAGGCAAGGGGACTTTGCACTGACTTTCCTTTCCTGTCCTGTCCATTGCTCTGCGGGCCCTGATCCAGGAAGGTCTCGTGGGAGAAATCATAGACATATGAAGGTAAAAAAGACGGAGAAAGTGAAAGACTGGCAAGAAGGTGACAAAGGGGGTTCTGTAAGACACAAGAACACTTATAAGGATATCAGAGAATATGCAGAGTAGTTGCAATGGACTCAAAGTCTTACCACAGCATCCATAAATTCCATGCAGCGCTTCAGCTCTGGCCTTGTGTCACAGTACTGACGGAATAACAGCCGACCAATGGGCTGCTTCTCACATAGACTAGTGTAGTCCCTCTCTGAGAAGAAGACAGGGGAAGGAAAAAAGATGAGGGGGAGGGAGATAGAAGGAGAAATGTAATACAACACACACTGGACATTATGCTACACCAGCGAGTCCATGAGATGATTACGCTAGGAGGAAATGATAACCCTGCGGCATGAAACTGTAAGTAACTGTATATTTTTGCCCAGCGAAACAAAAAATTGTTGGAAACCATTGAGCTATATCACTATATTAGTGGGCTTAAGGGATAAATTGTTTTCATTTGAATTAACTTTGCGTTGTGAGCCAAAGTGAGAAACGAACTGGTGGATGCCTTTTATAGTTCTCACAGTTAAACTCGAAATAGTCGCAAAAGGGCAATTAAAGGGCAGGAACTGTCACGTTTCCTGGTGACAGCAAAACAGTAAGCAATTTTTTTCTGCTTCTGTTTTGAAACACATCTCCATCCACATGAAATACAAAAAAAAAAAAATGCATTTAAAGAAACATATACATTTCAAAATACAGGACAGGCTTAATGTCTGAAAATTTGTTTTGAGGAGCACAAAGAAACACCAAAAATTATGTGTAGAAACACGAATTGTCAATTTTGATCACCCCATTCGCTTGTGAAGCGCCCTTTTAAACATTTTAAACCTCAGCATGAGCATTTTCACAGCTGCCATCTTAGTGTTTTGACGTGGAATGTGACAAGAAGGGGCAGGTCTGTGTGTAAAACCGCACACTTACTACAACAACCTGGCTGTCAGTCACAAAATCATAAGCCAACGAGCGTGCCGCAGATAATCCACCATTTTGAAACATAATATGTATGTCAAACATAGTTTGAGCTAAAATGAGTGGCTGAGTCCACAAGCTCAGAAAAACAAATGTCTCCAGAGTTCAAGACAGAAACAATCTTTTTGCAAACACACTTACTGTCATCTGGTGGTCTACAAATAAGAAGCTTCGTTTTTCACACCTGAAAGCGACGTCCATGTTTTACAATGACAACGTACCAGTCCTCTCGTCCTTTGTTAGCTAACAACAAGCTAGCACTAACTAGCTGCTTTACAAGAAATACATTTTATAAATTTAACTTTTTCCCCTTTTTCTCTTTTGTTTTTTTTTTTTTTTATTATACAGAGTGAAAGATTTGTATTTGTATTGCTTGGGATGTTTAACCAAAGAAAAGCAGTACTTGCTATAATCAATAGATTAGGATAATGGACACTGAAGTTGCTTAAAAGAAAAGCTTAAAAACTGGGAATCTGAGAAGCGATTATCTACAGTACTCTGCAGAGGTTTTCAGCCACCCGTCATTTTTTGTATTTTTCTAGAAAAATGTAAAATGTGTGCAGTGATTTTTTGAAACGTGCAAACCTAGATGGAAATATCGTATACAAAGCAAAAACAGGGTTTTTTTTCCATCTGAAAATACAGATGGAGGCACTTTGAGCAGACTGAAATGTAGAATGCAGAATGGAAGTAAAATATAAACAAATAGGGAGTGGGTCAGGACTTTTCCTCATTATTTTATATCCAATACGTCTTAGCTAAAACAAGGTTTTTCCTACAAATAAACACACTTTTTCCCCCAGACAGATCTAGCTATTAATTTTCCACAAAGTAATGGGGATCTACACAAAAATAAAAAAAAATAAAATAAAATGTAAGGGTCAAGTTAAAAGAAATTCAGCCTCCACCTCACGGAAAAAAATGAATTCTACCTTAGAAAAAGAAAGAAAAAGCGACGTATTATTTTCTGGAAAAAAAGAAAAGAAAAACACCACATGATGTCACATATCTGTTTTTTCTGTACATATCTTAGCATTTTTGCCCCTATTAGCACTAATGGTGTCCATTTGAGTCATATTTCCTCTTGTACCAGCTTTCCATCATTGGTTGATGCTAAGGATGCGCAGGCACACAGGCAAGATAAACATACAAACAAAAACAGGCCACACACATTCATATACACAGAGGAACAGAGATGCTAGGTATGAAAATTTGGGAGTGCTGACAGCTACAGGGAAACCTCCAACAGTAAATGAAATCTTCACAACAGCCCTCTCTTCTGCACTGTTTATTACACAGGATTTACTTCTGCAGCTCAGCGTTTCCTATTCAAACTTGCCACTTACATGACCACAGTACCTAACTTATCAGGTTGGTCAGCAAACAGAATAGAGATAGGATTTTTTTTTTTTATTACTTCCCTTTACACAATGAGGCTGCTGTATTTAAAATCTGACCAACAGAAGCCCTTTCACAAAACTTTATACTGTACTTTGTTACACTTGCTTTCAGACATTATCTTTCATCTTTGATCACCAAGATTTCAGAGGCCTGCTTTGGTGTTTCCCCATCAGCTCTGTGCGGGAGCGGGGAAAGCCCTTTACACTCATAGCTGATGAAGGCAATTTCAGAGCGTTTGAACAGTATTTGGAGCAGTTTATTTGAACTCTGGAGTGGAGTGGTCTGGCTGGAGGAGAACAATGGTGTAGCTGTGTATGACATCTGTATCCCCAAATGTGGCTCGCGCGCTACTCTTGACAATCATTGAAGAGGTTACTGACAGCGTACGATTACGAGAGCACAAGTGGCTTTTATTTAACAGGGGACAATAGGCGATGCGAACCACAGGAAGTTGGTAAAAAGAGACAGGGCAAGATACTAGTCCCGTATTCATTAGCAGGCATAGAGAAATCAAAATATGAAATGCAAATTAATTAATCATCCAGTTGTTTTAAATAAACCATTAGATCATCGGCACTGTAAAAAGCTGTACTGTGAAGTGGTGTTGGTAGAGGTGGTGACAGAGGAGAACCAGCTCAGGCTGTCTTCTCTATGTCAAGATATTTCATGTGAAGTAGAAAGCTTGAAGAGGCCATGGTGGTGCAGTGGTTAGCATAGTCACCTCACATTAAGAAGATTCCTGGTCCAAACCTCCTTTCTGTGAGGATTCTGCATATTTTCCACATGGTCTCCAGGGACCCCAGCTTCCTCCCCCAGAGTCCAAAAGGCATGCATGGCGGGCAAACCGGTGATTCTAAATTGCCCATAGGTTTTAGTGTGAGCATGAATGGTTGTCTCTGTCTCTGCATTGGCTCTGTAATGGACTGGCATCTTGTGCACAGTGTACCCTGCCTGTGTTCCTGTGATAGCTGACAATTTAGGAAAATAGGTAGAGAATACCCAAACTAATAAATGGCCAAAGCACAACATCAACATTGGCTTAGTCTGATAGTAATTTTCAAGCAACAATCCACCAGTGCTAGAAAATTTACCAGTGAAGTGCTGAAGAACTGCTGGACTAAGTGTGAGAATGGATTTTTACTTACTGTTGCACTCTGCTCAACCAAGACATTCTCTTACTGCTCTAACTTTGTCCTCTTTAATAAAAACAAAAGCCAAAGAAGACAACTGATCTTTATATATCTCTTGTTCTTAGACAACTGAATGCATTAACACCCCTCACAGTGGCCGTGAAGACAGTCTCCCAGAATATAAAGTACTGCATATAAAGTGTGTGAAACCGACCCAGAGGCAGAACTCAACACATTTTATATTTTCATTGTTTTAGTGGTTTTTGTTTTTTACTTTCAAAAGCATAAGACTGTAACATTTCTGCTATAGCACACAGGGTGCTGCACCGCACCTCGCATAACTCAAAGGCCTCAACAATCAGAAACAGCTCAGGCTGTGCTTTACAATATCGTCCGTGATAAAACCAGAATACATTTTTCTGTATAATAAAAATGTCGTAGTGTGATATAACAGTCTATAACAATACCATGAATTGAAATGCCCTATGTGCGCAACTACGAGACAAGCCCAGGCATGTCTGAAAGCAAGAGCACATGTCAGTGTCCGATTGAGACTAAGTATCTAAAAAGACTTCAAAAACATGCAACAAAACAGTACTACGCAAAATACGTGAGAAAAATGTTCCCGCTAAATGTACAGTAATGTCGAAAACAAGGGCTTTAAGCAGTTATTTTACACTTTTACCTGAACATCCTAGGCTATTAGTCCCATGCATGGGACTAATAAAGGTTATCTTATCTTATTTCGCCTCCATTTCCTACACTTCTAAATGCTGCTGCCTGCAAGCTGTAAGCATCAAGAACATTTTTTCAATCTTTTTTCTGTATCATCAGAAATTTCCTTATTATTATTCATTTGTAATTATTACTATTGGTTATCCATTACAACAAATTATCGGATAGTTTTGAGGCTAACCTACCCGTCCTGACAAACAGGTATAGATCAACTTTCTAATGCTTTCTTCTTTCACCATTTAATTTCTCACTGAGCATTAGACTAGTGAGTTCAGCCAGCTGACAAAAAACATGAAACTTTGGGTTGGCGTCCCGTCGGCCGTTCTGAAAATTAAACAAACATTTCTTTTGTTCAGAGAAAATGACCTCTGACAAGGTTTCAGTCTAGCATGAGAAGTTTTTCAAGTATTTCGGGACATTTTCATCCTAATGACGAGTTTTGCTTGTTGCTTCAGTGGTGGCAGTTCTCTGCTGAATCACAACACAACTGGCTGACTCTTTAAGGTGACAACATCTAATTTGCGTAAGAAAGAAGCCACAGAAACTATTGTGAAATTGTCTGGAAAGCATTTTTTTTCCCCACTAATTGCAAAAATATACCTGTTTTTCAGTAGGACTGTCAAAATTAAGAAAAGTATCTGTGTCACATTTCATTTTTACTCAGTAAGTTTCTCAGAATTATTTAAATAAATAGTACATTTACACCAGTTGTTAGTGTTTGATTTTTGCTGTACCCATTCACAGGTTTGCAACACACAACAAATCTTTTTATGAATAAACACTGGAGAAATTTTTCTTTATTTTTTAACAATGGTAACAAAGCGTTTCTATGACACTGCAGATCCACTTCATTGATGTTGTGCCTTCTCTCTCCAGTAGATTTTTCGTCCTATTTGTTGTACATGGTTTTCCATCCCAACCAGTCGAGGCAGATAGTTGCCCCTTCCTGATACTGGTTCTGTCCAAGGTTTCTTTCACAGTTGTGCTTCCTCAAAGGTGACTGCCTGAATGTTGGGGTAATCTCTCTAATGTTGTAGGATCTTTACCTTACAATTTAAAGGATTCATCTAGAGATGATTGTTATTGTGAACTGATGCGATATAAAATTTAATTGGACTAATGCTTTTGACTTTTTGACTGTCATTTGTGTAGAAGGGAGTAGTTTAAGCAATTTGAAGCACATACATTTGTTTCTTTTATTGCATACTCCTTATCTACATTTATATTTCTATGAGGATGTTTACTCATACTTTTTGTGTTCCCCAACTGCAAAACCCCCCCAATTTCTCAATAATGACTTCCTTGCTTATGAGGAACTTATCCAATTTCCTAAATATGAACAAATATGAAAGGAGATTGGGAAAGAGGGAACGCACACAAGGCAACAAGGTGTCAGAGAAAAATGGAACTGGTAAATAAGGGGATTAAAAAGAGAGGAGGGAGCACTGTAAGGCTCGAACTAGCACGGGATACTAACTGTCTGAGCCAGTGAATGCAGCTGTAATTACAACTCAATCAAAACTCCAATTTAGACCAAGACAGAGTAGATTAGTGAGACAGTGAACAGTCAGCTAAATGCTCACAAGCGTGCAATGGGTGCAGGAGTGCATGCCCGTGTTTGTGTGCAAACAGACACCTGCACGGCCAGTGCGCACTGCTGCTATGCAACAAGCATTTAGTCTCCATCCAAAATACCTATGCTTTCAGGACCATGTTAACATGCTAACGTGTTTGCAGTGATCAAAAGTAAGAGGTGCCCATATAATATATGTATTAACTATGCCAAAAAAATAGAATGGTAAGAAAGAGATGGACAAAAAAGAAAGAAAGATGGAGAGAGAGGTCTAAGGCTGGCAGACAAAGTGCCTGCAGCCCACATAATGTAATCTAAGCTTCCTAGAATTACCGTTCACTTGTCAAGGCTAAGGTCAAATGCCTGACATTATCAAGACACAACAAAGACTCTGCTATCAGTCGCTACACTGTATTCTGTCCACTGTGCTCGCACTCTGAACGGGCAAGTGTGAGTGTTTCTGCACGTGTGTATGTGTGCACGCACATAACTACACGCCTGTGTGTTTAAGCACACCAGGAGGATTATTTTGATCTTGTACTCAGTGTGATAGGGAAATTACGCAATAGCATCTATGTAATAGTGACGTACATAAACCTTAACAGCTGCTGTATGCGCGCATGCACACACACAAGGACAAACACACACATGGGCAGGCACTTATTGCCCATTTTTAGAATCCTGTGCACATTAATATCCAAATGGGAATAAATACATGCAAGGTTATATTTATGTGCTCGGTACCATCCTCCTCACACATTAATAATAATAATAATAATAATAATAATAGATGGATTGATTTCAGGTTACACAAAGAGATTTTACATTAAATAACCAGAATTGCTGCTTTGCTGTTCTAGGCCTGTGCCTACCAGTTAAGCCAGCGGCCCCCAACTCCCAGGCCATGGACTGGTACTGGTCCGTGAGTCGTTTGGTACCGGGCCGCGAGAGTTGAGGCTCGGGTGTGAAATTTATGGTTTTCAGGGTTTTTATCGGTTTTATTTTGTTGTATTTATCCACGACACCTTAAAGGCCAGTCCGTGAAAATATTGTCGGACATAAACTGGTCAGTGACACAAAAAAGGTTGGGGACCGCTGAGTTAAACTACAGCTTACGAACACGTCTGTCCAGACAAAGGCAGTGGAGGCTGTGAAAAAAAGCAAAAATGATCATAGAAACTAACAGATTTAAACAAATAGCGGATAAACATCGTGAGTTTTGAATAGTGATCTGAACATCAGTGCTGGCTTGGAGATAATGGTCCAGGAGGAGAGAGCTTTAAAGAACTCTTTCGCTTGGTCCTGATTGGTGTTGACAAGAATTTGGCATTAACCTGTTAGCAGTCGGACGTACCGCCCACGGTACATTGGATGGTTTAGGGGACTAATTGGACTGCTAAGGGGTTAAATGAGTAGAGGCTGATGGAAGGTGTGTGGTGATGAACAGAAGGACTCTGAAATGGATTCTGGTGTGGGACAGGAGCCCAGTTAAAGTTTTGAAGGGACGGGAGTAATAGTGGTTGCAGGACTACGGCATTTAGCAGAGTTGTACAGGAGTTTGATTACTTGTACTGTAAAGAATGCAGTTGCAGTAGCAACATCTGGATGTGCTGGAGGCATGGATAAATGTTTTGGAAGTAAAGAAAAAAAAATTTCCTGGGGGAAAAAATTTTCTTTGCTGCGACACGCTGAGGTTAAAGGAGAGAAGTGCCAAAAATTACTCAGACGCAGAGTGGAGTTGCTGATGGTGAGGCACATTTGGGGGTTTGGGACCAATCATGTCCTGATTTATCATTTTAGTTTGAGCCAGTAAACTTTCATCTGCGTTTTAATGGTGCTGGTGTCCAACCACATCATGTTGAAGTATGACGCTATCAAAGGGAGAGGATCCAGAGGATGAATAGAAGAGGGACAAGCATTAAACACAGGGGATATCCTGTGATAGAGGTGTGCCTGGGCTTAAGTTCATGAACTGTTGCTTTGTTGTTTGAAATACATGACTGAGAGGCTGTGGCAGGGTTATTAATGTTGGGACAAAAGAACAGTGTGGTTGTTGGTATCAAAACTCGTACTGAGTTCGAGGAAGATGAGGATGCAGTGTTAATTAGAGGCCGAATGAGGAAGGCAGAATGGTGAGAAGAGATAAGTACACACTGGGGAATTCCCCAAGGAACTGCATGCCTAACAACCATGTAAAGAAGTGTGTGTGTGTGTGTGTGTGTGTGTGTGTGTGTGTGTGTGTGTGTGTGTTGGGGGATGGGGGTGTAAGGATGTCCATATCCATTGTGATTGTTAGCTGGTGTATTGCAACTCCTAGACACAACCATGACTGTGAATATGAAAGTTCACCTGACTGTGGACAGGTTGCCACAGTCAGGCCTTCAGTTTCTCCTGTATGAAACTGAAGGCCTGTAGTGGCAACCTGCCACTGCATGTGGCGAATATAATTTGAACTTGAACTTGGTTCCAGAAACTGTACAGCCACTTACAGTTATTATTATTATTAAGGCGGACATGGAAATCACCTGGGATAGGAACAAAAAGGTGAGAATGCACACAACTGGACCAGAGATGGAGATCGATTTTTTTCAAGATTTGGATAATTAGTTCTATGAATGAAGACTTGCGATCTGAAATCAACACGACGACGAGTGCAATCAACACCGAGTGTGAGACATGTCCTCCGCGAATATGTGCATCTACATCTTTGACTCTGCCTTCTTCCTATCCTCTCCTGTCCTCGAAAGATCTTTTCTCTCGTTGTAAAAAGCCTCTCTTTCCCTCTGTGTTTCTGTTTTCCACTCGTGCTCTCTGTAACTCTCCTGTTCTGCCACTCTTATGTTTCTCTGAAGTGGCTGAAAGAGTGAGAGAGAGGGAAAGAGCTGCAGATAGTGGGAGGGAAAGGCATGGAGATAGAAAAGAGGGAGGGTATGCGAGTATGTGGGGGAGGGTAGCACTGCAATCTCTGGCAAAGATAGCTGTGACGCACTATTACACAGACACACACACACACACACACACTTGTGCTGTGGCATTCAGGGAACCATGGTGGGTGGGGGCTGGGGAGGTGAGAAGATAATGAAGCCCAAGAGTAGAACTCTTGTCGGGGGCCACAAAGAGAAAATCCTGCCAGTACTTTCAAGTTAGACCTGGAGGTTGAGAAAAGGAAGGAAGCTGGGGTGAGCATGCTTTCATTTGATGTGTGAACAAGCACAGCAGAAATGTTAAAGGAGAGCTTGAGATTCAGAAACAGCAAACAGATTCCCTGTCTCAGTCACACGCACACAAACACACACACAGGGTTTCCTGTCCCTTGCTTGTAACTACGGGTGGAGACGGGTAGAAACAGGAAGGAAGTCCAATCTGAACTTCCTCACACAGTCAGGCCCACCCCAACGACACAGCATGGCAAGTTATCTTTTTGTCTCACACCCACATACCCACACGCACTACCAGTTTCTTACCGATGGTGCGACGTAGCTCCTCACACTGGCTGATGTGCGGGAGTTTTAGCATCTCTTTCCATTTCTTGCTGCGGCCATTCCTCTTTCCTCCTCCACCTGAGACACAAAATGAGAGTTTCCTCGTCAGCCCATGTATGCTTTAATATTGCATTTGGAGTCTTTAACAGTTTCCATCCATTGGCATTTTCAACACAAACATATGAATAGGGCTGCTGTGAGGACATAAGCCCCACCCATCTGCTGTTCAAACCTACTGTGTGCAAGGATCAGCCAATCAGAATAAAGAAAGGGAGAGGAGCTAAAACAGCTTGTTTTTATTTAGTTATCCTTTACGTCATCCAATAAGGATTATTTTTTAATTATGGAAAACAATTCTAGTACAGTCAAAAAACATAAAGGTGGAAATATGGAAATGAGCACAATAGGTTCACTTCAAGTGTTAGGAAAAGTCTCAGTTATAACCACATGTCTAAATTAAAACCTCTGACAAGAGAAAAGATTTTAAGACATTTCATAACTATCAAAATGAAATGAAATACTTCAGACTTTTTAAGACTCATGGGAACCGTGTGTGCGCGTCTATGCATGTGCGTGTGTGTGGGTGTGCACAAGCTTGTTCATGTTGACCTTGCTTTGACCAGAGGCCAGAGCAGGTGGTTCATCTCACCAGTCGCCTCCATGCATCATGGCAGGGCATGTGGTGAAGAATGTTGACAGCTTCAAAGATCATGGGGCACACACATATTGTGTCTCTCTCTCTCTCGTAAATGCGTGTGCGTGCACACACACATACACTCGCACGCACACACAGTAATGTTGGGCAGTCGTCTTGGCAGATCAGATGACCCTGATATGAGTGGTAAACGATCTCAAGGCCCAACAGCGCTCTTCAGAGGACCCCAGTCACTCTGTATATTTCACAAGGAATCTCATTCCAATAGCAGTGTGTGTGTGTGTGTGTGTGTGTGTGTGTGTGTGTGTGTGTGTGTGTGTCCAGAGAAATGGGGAAGAAAAGAAGTCAGGAATGGGAAACAATCCAACTGAGGAGGTTTGCCTGCAGACTGTCTCATCTGGAAATCCCTTGCATTTCCCCTCGATGACCTTCTCATCTCAAACTCTTGCCTCAAGCTCAGCTACACCGGCTATGCTGCAGACATTACATAGTCCACACCCAGCCAGATCCTTTACACAAAATCTACGCAATGTCCAACTGAGCCAATGTAAGAATATAGCAGAAAGCTATCCATGTAATTCATAGTGGGCAACCAGTACTCTTGTATCCTGCCTGTAGCACACTCATGCTATGTAAGTTGTAAGTACAAATCCAAAGTGGATGGTTTCCTGATATTTGCTAGATGTGAGCATGTGTGGATACTGTTCCAACCTTATTCCGTGGACATTATCCACAGGTCATCATTCCATCATTACTGGATAACACACACACACACACACACACACACACACACACACACACACTTAAAGAGAGAATCTGATATTTTATAACATCTGTCTGCAAACTCAGCCATTATTAAAATTGATGATCAATATTTCAGCGCGACACACATTTGCTGATTACAACATCATTTGATTAGGATTGGTATTTTATGGTTTACACAATGCCAGTAAAGTTCCTCTGTGCTATCTCACAGCTTTCCTGTCTTCTCTTCACTATCCTTTCTTAATAAAAGCTAAAAAGCGTACATAAAAATATATAAAAACAATGATCCTTGGAGGACCATCCTGACAAAGCACATGGTTCAACACAAATTCACAATTACCCATTTTCCACTATTATGATGACCTACTTGTGCATCCCAAATCATTGCTAACAAAGGCTGGGGGAATTATACAAGGAAGACGAAAAAATAAATAAATAAAAAAAATATCACAGTTGTATCTGTGAATAATCTATGAATATTCCCTCCCACAGCCGCTTGCGTCAGAGGTTCCTACTTTAGAGCCCAGCTATTTTGTGGTGCCAGCTTTTATGGACTAGGAGCAGTCCTTTTTTTCTAGTAGGAATACAAAGACCTGGTTCTAGATTAATCTCATTCATTAGGGCTGTTCGATATAACGATATATATCGGATGACGATATAAAAACGTCTATCGTTTAATTTTATCGTTTGTTTCATGGTGTCGCAAAATAAACTGTTTACAGCAATAATTTTCCTTCGTTTTGATGGTCACTGTAGTGGCTATATTAATTTCTTAAAGTTCTCTCTTTCTCTTGTATTTAATATAACCACACTACAGACGGGCAAGCGCCTGTATTTATGCGTTGTCGTTAGCAACAACGACGGTAAAACCATCGCGTCACGTGTCCGCTTATTTATTTTCCACATAAACATTTCACAATAAAGCTCAAGATCCTGTTGAGACTTTTCAAAATAAACTGAATCATGTGAAAGAGTATTCAGAGTGTTTACGGATGAGAAGCAAAAAAGAGCCGCCAGGTGCTAAAAAATAAACCTTAGACTCAAACGTTAGAACAGGCTTTTCCCCGCAGCACGCTGGGTAATAAATACTCACAAAGAAAACGGCGGCCGTTACAACTTATGTCTAAAAATGTATAGTTTCATGCATCGGTTAAAACACTCGACTCCAGGTACGCAACGTGCAGCTGGAAACACTTCACGCAAGTCGAGCTGCCCGAGATTCACAGAATTTACAAAAAATGTTGAATTTTTGTGATTTATATCGTTATCGGACGATAGATGTCTTATATCGGAATATGAGATTTTGGTCATATCGCACAGCCCTATCCATCATCAGTGGAAAGGGGACAATAAAAAGATAAAAATTGCTAAATGTCTTTAGCCAATTCTCATCTCTAATCATTTCATATCTGCCTCTGGACTGTCTATTATACAAAAAGGATGCAAATACAAGGCAGTCTACCTTCCTGAAAACCTCCTCCCTTCAGACAGGCTTGCGTGTTTGCTTATGCCGCAGACAAATGGATGATCAACACTCTTATGACTATGTCTGAAGATCTCTGAATATCAAGATCCTATGTGTTTAAAAGTAAAATATGCAGACATGTGAAAATCTGTCAACAATCCTGGAATAGATAAAGCTTTTTTGTTTGGTATGTTTTCCCATGATTTGGTTAAGCGGAAGAAAATGGATGAATGGATGGATAGTTGTGGACTTTTTGTGGATAAATGTTTGAAGCTTGTGGTAAATTTATGCAAGTGGTTACCTGATTTTAAAACATGCAATACTGACATTTTATGCGCTCACAGTACTGTGACAGTCAACAAGGAGAATAGGGGCCAGTATTAATGTTTGATAAGTCTGTGCATTTCTAATTCTGAAAATCTTTTCTTTTAAAAATTTAAAAGTAGATGCATTTCTGCATGTTTTAATAAATTTAAAAAGAAACATTAGTATTTATATGTGACAAAAAATTCTATCAGGGGAAGAGAGCAACCCATCTTCTTGTTTCACAGTCAGTGAATTTAAAATGATTAATGTTGGTTTTTCTCGATTACTATGTTACATCAGTACATCAGCCAGCCTAAGTGTGAGTGAGCAACATAGACAGTTTGATTATGAAAACAGAGAGGGAAATCCTCTGCCCCAAAGTTCACTAGACACCAGCTGGCCTGGCAGAGACATGTGACAGCTTCAGCACAAAATCTCACAGGAGGCCATGACGGTCAAACACCTGCAGAACGAACAGTGTGCAGAACGAACAGTGTGCACGCTCAGAACACTACAAAAACAACATCCTCATACATCTTCTTCTGCATCAAACTACTTTAAAAAATAAAATATGAAAGAGTTCAACTTTCTGACTTTGCTGTCTGTTGCTTGTTGATTTTCACCCTGAACAAACTGCCTGAATTTGTTTTACATGCAACATGCAACAGTAGTACACACATTACCAAAAATTTTTTATTTTTTTTTCTTTTAACCGTGAGAAAACTTACACTGTTTAACTGGAACTGCTTGTTAATATATGAAGCTTTTAAAATCATGTGGCATCAGGTTGTTGAAGACAGGTATGCTGACGGACCTGTTGTGAGGCTCCAGGACACACACACCACACACACATACACACACACACAAAGCTATGTTTCCTTGTTGCAGGAAAACTGAATACACAAAAGAGGCCATCGAAGAAAAATGTTGAAGCCAAATGTTGAATTGGCTGTTGCACACGCTGTGTGATGATGGCCAGTTGCAGGAAAAGTCTGCAAATATATTGAGCCAAAAACACTGCAAGATTGATGAATACAATCAAACTTGCTCTGCAGAAAGTAAGAAATAGACAGAGATTTACTTCTCTCGTGTTGCCTTCTTATACTGTGAGTAGGAAATGTGAGTGTTTCAGCTAATGGGCTCTATGCTGTAAAATTACACGAGACTCAAATTTCCGATGGAAAGAAAGAGAAGGAAACAGGAAAGAACTGACAAAAAACACCAGATAGACAAAGATATTGAAAAGAAAAAAGATTTTAATAGCAAGCTTTTGAAGAATGTGTGTATGCGCGAGTGTGCTCATGCTTGTCAGAGCCGGCTGGGCCACCCCACCCTGTTTAAAGTCACTCTGACGTCAAAGCCATGTGTGCAGGCCCTTAATGCAGACAGGATGGAGCAAGTATTTATTTAACTTTGGTTCTCCCCTTCGAGAAAACGGGGCCCTCCATAAACACTGACTTCAGAGAAGTTTTGCTCATTCATAGCCGAGCTACAGCCAGCGCTGAGATCACCAAGCAAGATCTGCAAACGTCCGACGCATGTGCTGCAGTGACGAGACAAAAAAACCTAAGACGGACTGAGGAAGTCTGACATCAAAAACAAGACATGCAGCTTGAGGATATGCGAGAATGCACATTCCTTTCCTGAAAGAAAAAAAGTTATAGAAAGCGGGGTCATCCCGGTCGTACATCAGTAAAATGTAGTAACATGTCACCAGCTTTTCTGGTTTGAGTTAGACTGGCCACAGTTGCCTCACATCACTCCCCTCTCCATTTCCCCTTGTTTCCTGTCACTCGGTACTGTCACCCATCCAACCAAAGCAAAATGCCACAAAAAAGGCCAGAAAAACTGCTTTGGCAACAGCTGAATAGATGACCCAACATAACA